ATGTTTGTGTTGTGTTCACTGTATTGTGTGTTGGTATACCGTGTTGTTTTTTCCATTCTGCAAAACGTTCGCAGTATTAGATTAGTTTAGTTTTGGTTGATATCGTATTACCCATATTTTGAGATTCCGGATTAATTTTACCCTCACAGCGTACGTATACGTGTTATTTTATAGTGAATTTAACTGGTGGCGTGCTATACGTTTCTGATGTTGATATTTTGCACTTAATGCGCAGGCTGCGTAGCGTTCGCAGCCTACTTAGTGACGGGAAGATATTTCCGCATGAAATGCATATAGGATTAGGTTATGTAAATTGTTTTAAATATTGGTACGCAAACTTTTAACGATCAATAAAATTGTGTTGGCACAATTCAAACAGCCTTACCTAAACATTGAATATTTTTAAGGTATCATTATTCACCTATTGCCAACTTTCATTAATCATTGCAAAATTAGTAATGAAAAGAGTAAATATTAAGCGTGCTAAATATTTAAACTCATAGAATTGAACATATTAAAAATATACTCGATCAAAGACGTTGCTATATAAATGAAGTCAGAGTGGCATTAAAAGGACTGAACAGCATAAAATTTAAAAATATTTTCTTATCATTTTCTCGTTATCCAAATAAATTAGTGTAGAAAAGGATGTTAAGGAATCATCCAAGCTTTTGCTTCGTATTTAAGGCACCTCCGTGAAGAGACTAGTAAAAAATAATTTGCACATATTAGGATATGGGTTAAGGTGAACTAATAGTTCAAGCTCGAGTCAGATTTGTTGAAATAATAAAGATATCATCACGTCCTAATGTAATTTAAACTAGCAGATTTATATCCATATTAACTTCTGTGCCACTCCATCAGGCATATATTTTTAAAGTATAATTTTAAGTTTTTTATTTTTTATATTTATAAAATGATATATTATGTTATATTTAAGACAAGAATCATTTTACAATCTTTGAGTTGAAGAACTTTATTAAAAATGAGACCTATGTTTAAGGCAACTATCCGAGCATCACGGTATAAATTCATAAAGCCAACTGGTACTCTGTTAATTAAGCTTCCTATCTTATTACGTTTATTACAGATAGCATTTGATATAATTTCAAGTTTGCAATAGTTAAATAAATAAAAAAATTTATCTTGTTTGAAATCTGAATTTAAGCGATGCTGTGAGTTCGACGATGAATTGTCATGTATTAATATGTTCTTATCATCCTAATTAATGATGTGATTATAATTTGTTAAGTTCTGCGTACGTACTAATAATATTTAAATAAATAAATTATATAGAGTTATATACCTTTTTAACGAATAATTCTTCGTTAATATTAGCATTGTCGTTATATTCTAAAGATACGATTTTTTCTGTCGGGCTTTTTAAATAAGCACTTACTAATCGTGACATTCCCAAGTTAATAATCTTCGAATCTTCATATTCTTATTCAAAATCAAATTAAGCCAAAAAAAAAATTCCAATATATATTAATTTCATTGCGAAAACAGAAGAAAAAATAACATCAAATAGATACCTGGTGTAATAAATCGAAAAATGTGTTTAGATAGCATAAAGTTATTATAAGAATTGTATATTAATCTGCTAGTGTAGATTGCGTCTGGATGAATTTCGAATGAGTAGAACATATTGGTGGAGTTAGTCACTGGCATTTCATCAGATTTCGAAAATTGTTGTTGAATTTCATATTCATTTAACCACTTTTCTAGGGTGTTATATATTTCTTCAGCAGTTGGACGATTATCTGGATTTTTATCCCAACAATTCTTCATTAAATCGATAAAGCATTGTGGAGTTCCTCTAATAATCGTAGGTCGCAATCCAGTAATAATTCCAAATTGAAGATTGAAGTCATGAGCATGATTTGCAAATGGTGGTTTACCAGAAGTGAATTCCCACATAATTATTCCAAACGAATAAATATCAGATGCCTTCGTATATGAATGTCCACATAAAACTTCAGGTGCCATATATGGTAATACACCATAAATACCGTCATTATTATTTTTAACATTGGGAGGTTCAGAGAGTCCCATATCAGAAATATAAGAATTAAAATGTTCGTCTTGCAAAATATTTCCTGAATGAAAATCTTTATGAATAAGATTAACTTCGTGAATTGTTTTTAAATCCATGGCAATTTGACTAAGCATTTTTAATTTTTCATGCCATTTTTTTCTCACTACATCATTTAAGTTTCGATTTAAAGAGCATCTTTCAAAATATTGCATTACAATTATATAATTTTTTGTTAATGGATTTTGTGACATTCCATAACATCCCAAAAAATCCATCAAGACGCCGCCTTTCTTCATGCATTTATGAAGAGCATTTATCTAAGTATATACAAAAAAAATATGAAAAATGATCGTTTCTTCAATAAATTTCTAATATTCACAAATTTATTGATTACAATACCTCATTCAAAAATTTGGCCGAAATTTTTTCTGAATCGTGAAATTCCTTAAGTACAATTTCCGACTCGTACATTTCATTTTTCCATTCTGCATAATATATGGTGGCAAATCCACCTCTTCCAATTTCTTTAATGTTTTCGAATTGTATATAAGGAAACCATTGTAATACATCGTCAGTGCTTTGTAAAAAATCGTCTATTTCTTGATTACCACTTCTAAATTTCGAAATAGTCATTATTGTCAAAAAATTTTGGGTTAATTTACCACTTAAAAGACATTCATATTTATATATTAATTTTATTTAAGATTTTATAGAAATAAATTTCGTCATACATACGTTCGTACGTACTGTACGTAAAGTACGATTGTCATTCAAATATTGATCTTGTGTCTTTAATCATACAAATATGGTATGTGGGCGTAATTTCTACATGTGTACGTAACGATTCAAGGTTTAGTAAAGATAATAATAAGAATTTTCTAAGACAAATGTTATTCGTTAGAAATATCCTTAGATTTTTAGTCAAAGATCAAAATACTACTGAGTTCGTTACGTAAGTGCAACATCGCATATACATTAAAAAAAAAAAAATTATTTGTAGCTAGCATTATGAAAATTCGGCCAAGATTAAAAGCAACCTTACTATATGAAAATTTTTTTATTTTTTATAAACATAATATATTACATATCCAACGACAGAATATATGGATTTAAAATTAGGTTGTATATTGAAATTACTAAAAATTAAATTTACATTCTATTTCTAAGATAATTATAATTAATGTTTTAATATTAAGAATTAAGCCTAAATAATCATCATTGTGCAACTGAAAAACCTTTGCCTTGGGACAGAATATTGTGGGAAGGCCGTTAGCGACTTTCTTGAGGAACTAAATTCCAGCTTGCTCCCTAACAACATCGTCAAATTTTTGTCTGATAGATTCATGTTCATCTCGATAAGCCTTGGTAGCATTAAGGACAATGACCTTTTCACGGAGATTATGAAATGATCTTCTCTTGAGTTCTTCCTTATATGTAGTTATATAAAGAGAAAACCCAATTCTTTTTTGGCTGTTATCTTCTTTTTGTCTCCAAATCGTTACTTGAGGTTGTTTTTTCGATCCCATGATATTATGATTTGTTTCGATATATTATTTTAATTGTTATTAGTTATATCGATATTTTTAATCGACAATTATTCAATTACTAAGGATCGAGATCAAAAAAATTTTGTGAGGAGATTATATTAGAATTTTGATTGAGATTCGAGATATGCCGGTTTAAGTAAATCATTAACTATAATAAGTGAATTTTTCATGGTACAGACCGGTACGTAACTTATTAACTAGGCTGAACTTGTGAATTGATGCGTGCTTTTTTTTTGAATTGGAATTCGAACGTTTGATAGACTAATTGTACAATTGCAACAAGTCCGTATTTGGTAAGTGCGTACATATATGCGATAAATTTTCATGGTAACACATCCAATTTTGGTATAAATTGATTGAATTTGATTAGTTAAACAAAAAAAAAGTGTATTAACAAGGAATAAACATACAGATCTATTTTTTTATCGTGTGAATTGTTATTTTGTAACAACTGTAACAACAGGATAGAAATTAATTGGATGAGCAACAAAAATTTTAAAGCTTAACTATAATAGGACGTGTTACCTGGATGTGTCTGGTTAAGTTCTAATAGTAACTTAATCAGATAGGGTAAGCATCTCCTTATATCTTACTCTATATTAGGAAGTTTGGGTCTCTATTCTGACAATAGCCCGTTATTAATTCTTGTGGAAAAGAGTGATATAAATTTAGAGGTTTAGGGTGAATTTATAATAGCTGCATGCTGTACATCAAATTAAATTTGCGTCAAATTGAATAATTATAATGTAGTTGATACTTAACCTTACTTAGCATAGGTTCCCTAACGAAGCCTATTATTTAAATTTTAATCTGACGCAACTTTTAATTTAACGTACAACATAATTTATACATTTTGGTTAGTTAAACTGTAAGCGGCTGTATAGATTCGTCTCATGGATGTTTATCAGCCATATCCTTATGTTAAAACTTGTACAGCTATTTATGTTCATCTCTTTTGACTAATCCTAAAATAAGAAAATAATAAAATAAACCATACAATGATAAATACAGTAAAATATAAAAATAAAACTTTAACGGCAAGTGTAACAAAATTGATTAGATGATGAAATAGTAAATCTTTACCATAAAGGGACGTGTTAGTATGATCGTAAGGGTGCAATGTAATTGATGGTTCAATAATAATAATATATACAATTTAGATGTAAAAAATGATTATCTGAACGAAAAGTAAACATATATAGATAATTAGATAATTGAAATGAACAATAGCCTAAGTTATAACAATAGCTGTTTAGTAAGTCTGCCAGCCCAAAAATTAAGAGTAAATTTTGAGAGAATACGAGCATCTTCCTCCTGGGTTTACAAAATTTGTAAATTGTGGTTCCCAATGGGTGTCACGCGTGTAATGTGCACGGAGCGATCTACAGCCTCCTCAATTTTCCTTTGCATAGTGCACATGTTTAAAATAATCTGCTTAAACGTAAATAGTTTCATATTTACTATTACCGCCCATTATTGAAATATTCTCAAATAATGCTCGGGGCTAGCGCTCCGACCATGTTTACTAACCCGAACCCGAATCCAACCTGAAGTGTTCAGTTCGGATTCGTGTTGGCCCATAACTCGACCCGACCGGACCGGTTCGGAACACTATTCTAGACCATTTTTGTCCGGTGTGAATCCTATCCATTAGAATTATGCGCATTATTTACCAGTAATATTTGTAATATTTTGTCAAATCATGTCTGCGTGATAATGCCATTTAATCGACCGACATCACGCAACTAATTATACCTTATGTGAGTAAAATTATCGTCGGTGAAGTAAGCAACACTACCTGCGTAGAGGCACTATAATGTGTTTATCGTGATTTTCTATACTTTGTATTAGAAATTGTGAAAGTAAATGCGTGATTCATCTATAGCTCTGATCTTTATTACGTAATTTTTTATATAAATATTAACGTAATTAATGTGATTAATGTGCCCCTTGAATACAGCACAAATCCCGTTTTTCTTATCAACTAACAATACTATCCATTATCTTATGATCACAATAACAACATTTGTCAGCCAAATTAAGGAATCAGTATGGTCGTGAGAAATAAGTTTATTGATTTTATTTTTTTTTTACTAGAATTAAAAATTATTAATTTCCAAACACCTTCAATGTCAATTTCGAATAAATAAGTCGATATAACATGATCATACGATACAAATATTTGTCATAAAAAAGGAGTCGCTTTTAGTTCAAAACCGCATGAGATATGACTGATAATCTGCAAAATTGAATTTGATTATCATGAATACCGTAGTGCACTGACCAAAGTATCCGGCGTGATGTGATTTTTCACATAGTGAAAATTAAAAATCACGTATATTACACAATTGTTTACATCACATGCCAGATATAAATAATATTTTAAAAAATTGATCTACATTATTTGTCACGCCGGGTACTTTAATCAGTGCACTATGGTAAGGTGTGAATCAAAAAATTCAAAAAAGACTTCTGATTAAATGCTAGACAACTGTGAAATCGGATTCGTAAGTTGCTATATTGATTTTAAAATAGTTATAACATATGAATCATTAAAAAAAAAACATCACGTTTAATCATTCATAGTAAAGTAAAATAATCCTAGCCTTTCATTATACAGATGAATTAATTTTATTCTTAATCTTTTCCAAATTATGACGGATCGTGTAGTCGTTTTTGGTCTGTCTTCTTTACACTAAAATAGTTTGTAGGTAAATTTTGTGCAAGTTAACAGGTTTATAGAGTTATTGATATATGAATAAGTCGTTATTTGGCTATCTTAATAAACTGTTGATTATCGTTTGGATATATTCGTATCAATGATTATTGCCATTACCGTATAATTAATTGTTCCATTCCTGATTAGGATGTCATCTCTCGTCTGTTGGCAATACTCATATGTGACACTAGTCCAACGCGTGTTCACAAATATTGAGCTCCTGATTTTCGACTAACTAACCAAATTTGACAATCAATAATGCCAAAAAATCAGAAAAATTTATTAATACAGATTAACGGGAATAACTCGATTAAAGGTTTATTGCTATTTCCACTAATCTGAAATTGAAAAAAAGTAGGGTAGAGGGTGCTGTGCTTATTTTCCATACTTTACGGTAATACGACCAAATCGGCCAGCTTTATATCTAATGCTAGCTAATTTTGTCGAATATCGTATCATAACCGCCAGAATTTACATTTGCTAAATTCACTGAATTTAATGAATTTACTGAATCCGCAGTTTCTATTAGCCCATTTTTCTTGAAGGGTTGAATCTGTAGAATTTAGACGTGGTTGTTGTTGTCCTGAAAATACTTAACGATTGTCTTAAGTTAAATCAGATTTCTACATAAAAATGTTGGCGGTTGGTAAGAGAGTATTTTCGGATTTTAGGAATTTCGGACAGGTATTTTTAGGACTGCACCGAAAATATGGTCGTTTTGAATTAATTACGTCTGAAACCATAACTACTGAATCGCATTACATTAAACATTAATTATGCAATTTTTGTAATTTAGAATTTATTTTAGAAATTTAAGACATCTAAAGATGAGCTCAAAATCTTATAGGACAGCCGAAACCAAATCTACTGCATTAATCAAATTTCATAGTGTTGGCAGGATCGGCTACAAAAATCAGTGCAATACACATAGGTACGTACGTATAACACTCGAAACGATATGCATAAATGCAATGTAGCACATTACATGCCTATAAAATTTTTAAAACTTGAATTAAGATTCCCATTTCGGTATCGTTAAATTATAAATAGCTTAAAACTATAAGCCTAATTTATAGGAGCTAAAATAAACCAATGACTTTATGCTTTATAGTCATGTGACCTGTGATCCAATTTCGCCGATAGCCATTTCGTGTTGGCCTTATTTATGACGAATGTTGAGTAGAGAAAGAAATGATTTGGCAAATTCTTCCAGAGTTTTACGGTACAACATTCAAAGCTACTCCGAAACCCTGATTGCAGATAAATCGAACATGCGCAAACATAGATTTTTAATATTCTTAGATAATGCACTTGTTACCATCTTCAGATCTATTTTTTATCACCTTTAATTGCAGAAGTGTATAGTTATTCTTTTTGTACTTTCCCGCTATTATGCAATTAACTATTATGTGTAAACATGATGTGTGTGCTTGGGTAACGTTAACATTACTGCCGCTATCACGATCTTCTGTATGTAATTAATCAAGTCCTTATCTGTGGGAAAAAATTTCTTTCAGCCTAAAAGAAAGCAACACAAACTTTATCTGTTTTATGGGTTGTTACTGGAGGCATCAACGATTATCATATACATTTTTTACTTACCAACACACCTAAATTAGTCTATGATAATCAAAAATTTTAGTATAAGCCAATGAAAATATTTTTAGTATACAAGAAAGTTATATTACCAATGATAAAAAAAACTCATGGGACAGATAAATCTAATGATTAAGCGATAATGCCATATAGGTTTGAAGAATATTGTTTTTTTTTTAAATTTAAATTATCAATGTGGTTTACATATTTTAATTATCACCTACATAATATACAGTCTTTCATTTATAAATTATATAGCAAATAAACATTGATAAAAAAAAGCATTATTTAAACAATGAAGTCCAGACCTTTAGCATTTTTCCCCACATAGTCTTTTCATAATGAATCATTTATCGTTAATTGAACGCTTGATTCGAAAGCCTGATACAGGTAATAAAAAAATAAATAAATAAAAATGAATTTATTGTTATTTATTTTAGTAGTTAGATTTTTGTTTTCATTCAAACGAATATTCACACTACAAAATCTGAAATTCAAATACAGATAAAAGAAAAATTGGACCTCTCGCGGTTTATAAAGCTTGTAATGAAGAAATGGCGTACGATGAATGTAAGAAAATATCAGAAATAATTCGAAACCTACCGCCAGAAGAAGCAGTATCATCGATTAGATCAATGCTACGAGGTAGTTTCGCGCCTCAATTTATTATTGTCAGTTCTGGTTCGCCAACTCTCAGTGAACAAAAAACCGTTAGGTGTGTTCTTCCTAGCTTGGATTCCGAGGAGCAAGAAACAATCCGAAGTGCGTCTCCGGCCTTGATTGCTGAATGGCCATTTTGTCTATTGCCTTATTCGAAATATTTTTCAGACTAGTCTGCTAATATAAAAAAATAAAATAAAATTGTAAAAAAATCTTTGTATAAATAGTTACCTGTATTATCAAATATAACAATTATATCAATAAAAATTTATTTTAATGAGTATCATCGTGTATAAACAGGGACTGTTTATCTTATTAAGAATCCAAATTAATTAACCACTTAAGTTATGAACTGCTTGTTAATGTTTCAGGTAGAAAGTATTTTTCAGGGATACTAGGAGTGACTGTTGTCAGGTAGAATAATATTCCCAGAACTTGAAAAATTCATTTCTATGATCGAGCTTTCGAATAGATTTTTTAATCTAAAAATTTACTCTTCGGAAGCAGATAAATAACATGGTTTGATTTCTGAAAAAAAATTTGAAACTTGTGATTTATTGAAAACCTGGCTTTTATATAGAAAAAATCGGGATATTCTAATTTAAAACGCAGGTGGATCCAAATTTTACGGTATAATTTCGTAAGTTAGAACATTGTAAGACTTCTTTTTTCAATAAGTTTAAAAACTTCAATATTTATAAATCTTTATTATAATAATTTATTGATTTTTTATTGACAAAATCCTTTGTCATATACTTTGTGTGGCAAGCTAAAATTAATTTATTTTATAACAATAAAATTTGGTCAAATATCTAAAAATTTTTCGAATTCAGAATGTTAATTGTCCGAGCTAACTAAATTATTTTGTTTCAGAAAAAGGTCCGGAGTTGATTTACATATATGTCTAATATGTACACCTGTACGTACGTATGAATTTTTCCGAAAAAATGAACCTTATTTAGATTGTAGACATGGAAATCTGCATCTGGTGCTCTGTACATGCGTAAGTATAATGCCAGGAACGGAGTGCAATGAAGTGTATGGCTTAATAGCAAGTGAAGTAATATGTTAGATTCTCTGCATCTAATGACCTTCCTTATGACTTTGTCTTTCTATATAGGCGGAAATCAATCACGTGTTATCGAGCCAATCATCTACAGTACTTGAGCCAAAAGTTGGAGGTGCATTTGGAGGGTCTATCTTTATGAACTAATTTAATGGTGCATCCAAGTTCTTCAGAAACATCCACTGACTGCGATACGATACTTGCTGTATTTCTCCGGCATGTGTACCCAGTGTGATGCAATTTTTCACAGAGTGAAAAATTACAAATCACATGAATTACACAATTATTTACATCACATGCACATATAAATAGTATTTTAAAAATTGATCTACATTATTTATCACGCTTGGTACACGTGTCGGAGAAATACAGACCCTACTCAATCGATCATACAAAATTTATTACAATCTCTAAATCAAATCCATTATCGATTCGGCACAAGGAAGAGACCTTATTTTCAATGTTTCTATTAATGCTAAATTGAAAAGTTATAATAACTTGACTTTCTTATCATGGCGATTAGGCACTAACTCGTGATACACAAGTTAAATTCATGGGAGTATTCGAAGTTGATCGAGCTAATATGGGCAAATTTTTTTGAGCTATTCGAATCTTAAAAACTAAATTACTATCTATAAATACAGTTATTCCCATTTCCCATTAGTAAAGGAAAGCCTATTTGCAAATTCATTAATATACTATATGTAAAATTATTTAATATATTTTGGCTTACGAATTAAAAATTACATGATTCGGATCATGATAAATTCTCTATTTATGTACGTATGTAAATTTAAATATACAAACCCAAAGTATTTGTACTTTTTTATTAATAGCTATAGCCTAAAAAAACGACACCCAAATAAATTTTGTAAATTTTAATCAATATTCAAATTTCAGTATAGCTAAAAAATTTTAATTTTAATCAATATTCAAATTTTAGTATCACCGACTCAAGCATTAGCTGTGACGATAACTTTGCTAAGAAAAGAAGGAATATTTATTACAAAGAAAAATATTTATTTATAAACTATTTCTTTAATATGTGTTCTTGCATAAAACCAGTTATAAAAAATTAGTGTATCTATACAATGTAAACGCCAAGGTAGATTATATCTAGATTAGGTTATAAGAAGCCTGGCTAGATGCCTTTTATGCAATTTTTTATAGTACTGTAAATCAGTAAATCAGCAAATCAGTAAGTAAATCAGTGATCATAAAGAACACAATCATGTAATTAGTAGAGGTGTGGATATTTTTAATCTAAATTACGTTACCATCGCAACCTGTTGTAATACAAGTGATATATTATATAAACTAGGCTGTTAGTTTCCGTCCGGCCCGTCTTGTCCGTAGTATTTTAAAAAGTTCGATTTTGATTGGCTAATGGCCGAGGATCTTCAAAATTTTGGCCCGCATTACATAGGCGTTTATTAATTCTGGCCGGAATTAACTTTTTAATTTTTTCTACAAAATGGAAATTTGGCAATTTTATTGATAAAATTATAAGTAATTCTGGCCTAATTTTTTGCTCGTCGCTCTTAGCCAATCAAAATCGTGGATCTGCCGCGCATTTTTTGCGCGGCACCTAGGTTAGACTGGACAGCGGCCCAAGACTGATTGTTAGACTAATTAAATGCACCAACATATTAATAATTATTATTACCCATTATTATTATAAACTCCAACCTATTAGTTTATTGCTCGTTTTATTACATAAAGGCTTCCTCTAAACAAATATTCAAACCTGTCTATTGTTATTAGAACTAGTAATGGCATGCGCACGAATATTGAGAATCATGTTGTAAGCATGTTTTAATGAGTCCTGTACTGTAAGTACAATCATTTTAATTAAAATATAGATAAGTATATCTAATTCTTAAAAAAACCTGTTATTATAATGGAAATAGAGATTAAATAAGAAAAAACCGATTTAAAATTTAAATTTATTATTGTTGTCTAAGCCCCTAAAATTAACCTCATATATATTCTTATAATAAATTACCATCCATCACGAGTGCCCTCTACATTTTGCCAATCATTTTTTCATGTTAAAATAAGGTGGAATTTGCATTCTTAATTTATTTCGAATTACCAATTTATTTTAACGTTAAAAATATGAGTTTAATGGCTATGAGAGTAAATTTGTCATAAATTTAAATATTTTTATGCCATTTACTGGTGATCAAATTCGTACTGTGCAAGAATATAATATGTATAAAATACCCAATAGTAGATCGCACGGAATGGTTTTAAAATAAGTATTTTGGAAATTACAGAAGATCTGGATAGTTGAATGACCAAATTATATGGTAAGAGGACGTAAATACCTATTTTAGAAACTATACCATACTAACCTGATCATCTATATCATACTGAACTCCTGGTGTAGGGATAGAATCCGTTGATACCTGGAGGAGCGCTAGGGCGAAGGCCCTATCCTGAGTAACCACTGACGCTGAGATACGATAGTGTGGGGAGCGAAGAGGATTAGATACCCTCCTAGTCCACACCTTAAACGATGGAGGCTATAGGAAGGGAACGGGGGTCGTTTATTAATATTGTATGAAGATGCAAAATTTGTGAAATTTGTAAATTAAAAAAAAAGATATCATTACTACAAATTTCATAATTTGCCGTCATACAATATGAAGAATAACACCCTTATTTTAACTGTAGGGAAATAATCCGTAGATCTCGGGTTATATAAGGGCCCTTCGGCCCTTATATAACCGCCGTTGCGAAAAATTGACAGTACATATTAAGCATTTTTTATTACTAATAGGGTGGGGGGTAGCCCGTTGGGCCCGTACGGGCTTTTTTTGGAAATTAATTTGGGCCATTTCGTCAAAACACTAGTCACATGATGATTTATCATATGACTAGAATTTTGGGGGATGGCCCAAATTAATTTCCAAAAAAAGCCCGTTCCCCCACCCTAATTACTAACAAGTTTGCCTAATAATAATTCCAAACCACTTAATAATAAATAGTTTCCCGTTCCCGGTTTTGCGCGATAACGTCGCGCAGCTACCTTATAAGAAAAAAAGTGGAATATGAAGAATGACAGAAATATTAGAAACCTCCCGCCAGAGGATGCATTATCATCGATTAAATTAATTCTAATATAATATATTATAGCCAGGTTTGTTAACGCTCAGAGGCAACATCAAGCACCAAATACATATGAGGACAAGAAGCAGTTCGGTCTCAAAACCTTGATTCTGAAGGACAAGAAGTATTTAAAAGTGCATCACCAACTTTAATTGCTAAATAGCCATTTTGTTTTATACCATTTTCGGATTATTTTTTGGACTAACATTTTTAAAAACATAAAATTGTAAATGATGATATGAATAATTTTGTAAATCTTTGTACAATTTGCTACATGCATTATCAGCTATATTAATTATGTCAGTAAAAAGTTTCTTTCCGCATAGCAACATTGTTTATAAGCCGAAAATGTCTATCCTAATTTAAACGGTTCAAAATTAAATTAACCGCTTAAATTACGAACAGTTTGCTAATGCTCAAATGGGGTTTCAAATTGTTATTACCTGGTTTGTGGATTAACTATAAAATAATACGTTATATGCTACTGTTATCATACAGATAATGTGCTACACCTAATGTTTGAACAATCAACGTTACTGAATAAATTTTTAATCAATAAACCGGTAACTCAATCTAAATAATAATTGTACATAGCAATGATATTTCACCGTCTTATATTAATATGCAATAAGTGAATAACATTATCACAAATCTTCTAATTTTTTAAAATAAAAATGAACCTTGAGATATATGGTAAATTCAGGCTTTATACAGTATTAAAAAAAAATCAATTTCGCAAGTTAAAACATAAAAAACGTTCTTTCAATGAATCAAAGACTTAATCTTTATAAAACAATGTAATATTTATCAATGTTTTATCAACAAAATCCTTTGACATATATTTTATGCGGCATGTTTAATATTTACTTTAAATTGCTATTATCTAAGTAGTATTTGGCTTATATCGCACCATGAAAAAATTTCCTGTTTCTAAATGGGATACGAATTATCATGTGAAATGCATTCAGATTTGATATTTACACATGTACTCATGTAAATGCGGATTTTTCAAATACATAAATTTTTATCTAACCTTGTTTGGATTAGAATAAAATTAGAGACAAAAGTTTCTAGATTTGCCTGAGCGTGAACGACGTATTGTAAATGCATACCTAGTATAAAAATTACACCGCACATTAAGTATTGTAGACAATATATATTTTAAAAAAAATTACTCTATCGAACTAGGACAAATTTCTTTATTAAAAAATGATGATTTTGTAATTGATGAACGTAATTTAACCCAATACAACTTATAAACCCATTCTTTAAATTTCAATAAATTTACTTCAAAAAACATATTAATAACATCTATTATATTTTCTTTTTGGAGATATTTTAGATTATTTAGTAAATTGTTAATTAAAAAATTAAACTATCATTAAAAATTGTCAATTAAAAAATAAATCTATCATTAAAATTGTAAATTAAATAATTAAACTATCATTAAAAATCTTGGTAGCTTCAAGCCATAATAAGCTAGGATCTCTGGCATTATTCTCATCATAATAAAGTCTATAATTAGCGGGTTTATATGAATACTCTAATATGTCTTTTACAGTACCATTTTTGTCAATATCGTAAGATTCTCTTATAGCAAGAATAAATGCATTTATTCCTGGAACATCAGTGACTTTATCACCAGAAAAATCTGAAATAGGTTCAGGTGATTGAACTTCACCGCCAGGAAAAGTGGAAAACGACATTTGAGTGTCAAGAAGACCACCAACGGCAATTGTTTTAATATTATAAATTTCAGAAAAAAATGTGGTTAATAGCGCACATGAGGATGCACAAAATCCATTAGTTATGATTATGATATCATCACTAGTCCATGGAAATGATGAGGTATTATTGAGTATCTTCTCTTCTTCAGATGTTAAAGCATTAAGATACAGGTTTGAAGTTCGTTTTTCTCGAGTTCCAATAAAATCACTAGCATTACTAAAGTGGTCACCAGAAGGAAATGACAAATAAAAGTTCGGATTATATATATTATAGTCATCAGGACCAAGTGTATTAAAATTATCTTCTATTTTTGGAATAGTAAAATTATTAATTATTATGTCTGTTGGAAATGAGTTTGGTTGTTTTGGTGAAAGTAATAATGAAGTCAAGAATAGTGGTACAGTAAGATCTCCACCAATATTATTTGACACATCTAAAATAAGCTATCAAAATTATAAAAATATGAAGTAAAAATACAAAAAGTTAACATTGTATATAATGCATGTTTAATACTGTTAAATACTGTTATTTAATTCTTACTTTTTTTGCACCTCGATTTTTTAATTTTTGGAAACCACCTATTAGAAAATTTTCGAGCTTTGATCTTTCTTCAGTAATTACAGCAATACCAACTTTGTTTTTTCCATCATCTATTAAGTAAAAATCCTTGACTACTAATTTTGCATGTTTAATCTTCTGCTTTTCATTACTTGATGTTGACGCTTCAAATTTATCACTTGATATTAATTTTGTAGCTGTTGCTAATTCTGTAACTTTGCCACTTGAAGCAAAATTATCATTAAGTGCAGAAGTAGTATTATTATTTTGGTCTAAACAAAAATTACTAAAAAGATTAAATCCATTGTTATATGAAATATTCCATTTTCTTTCTAATGTAAAAGAGCGTTTTTTTGGACATTCTAAATTATAAGTGATGCTAGGAGTTTCAGGAAAATCTTCTCGCAAAGTAAATTGTTGTGAAAATGTTCCTATACTAGGAGCCAAAGCCATATTAAATCGGACACCCAGATCTTTTGAATATGCAATTGAATCATTTGCAAAGTCAATTATTGCTTGTAATGCGGGTTTTCCTCCAATTTTAGTAACTTCACAGTCAATGTTTGATGGATCTTTTGTATCGTTAAAAACCTTTGGAAAAATAAAAATATTCATTAGTAATCTTATTGTATATAATTTAATGATATTAACACAATAATATATATATGTTGTGCCTCAGATTAATGCTTGCGTCAGATGTCGACTTATTGGCTCGCATTAACTGATCGACATTTATTGACCTAAACTAAGCCCAAATCCTTCCCAGATTCTTACCCTAACCCTAACTTAGGCCGATTGACATCTGAGGCAAGCGTTAGTCTGAGGCATGACATATATAAAGTAATTCTAGATATAAAAAGTATCTCATCCGTAATAAAGATTTATAAATTTACTTATATTATTCATTAGTACAGTAGTAACTTCCTTATCAATATGTATTTAATTAAGGCCCGGTTTATTATATGAAGATTTTATACCAAGAGTTACGTATAATACTATATTTCTAAATTATTTGTTATACCATAAATTCTCGAAATAATGCCCAAGATGTAATCTCGAAATTAGTCAATTAAGCTTAATTCGGGCCATAACTTAAAATGTCGCCCATGCCCGATATTTTGAGAATTTACAGTATATTAATAAGTCATATGAACAATATAATTACCTTAATTATCTTTTATGTTTGATATAATTAGTTTGATAATTAATAATACAAATCAACAACAATAATATAACAATTAATGTTATATAAGTATTGATGCAAATATTTGAAATTATTTACCTGTTTCTTCTCGGTCGTAATCACAGAATATAAAATTAAATTTTGATCATAAACGAAATTCTGATAACAAAGATTTGTAACTCTTGTATGACCATCTTTTAATTTGAAAAGTGTATTTCTTAAAGCCGTCTAGTTAATTTAAACTTTATATTACCATTTTTTTTAAATAACTTTTAAACTGTAAATACTTATTTATTACAATATACATACCGAAAAGTCATAATCTGATTTAAAAGTATTTTCACGTAACAACTTTAATTCTTTTTCTATGTCCACAGGTTGATAAATAAATCCACTTGGTGGCTTTTCTTTGGCCCGATCAATGAATGGATAATAATTTAACATGAAGTGCAACACAGAATCAATGGTCTTTTGTTAAAAAAAAAAAAAAAAATTAATAAATGCTAGATTTTAAATAAGAGCATTCAAAACATTAATAATTACTTTGTTAGCAAGTTTAACATTAAAAGGAAAACTTTCAAGACATTTCTTAGTAACATTATAATCAATAGGTTCATTTCTTTTGAGCGCTCTAGATACCTCTTCACATTGGAGTTTAGCATCAGTCAGTAATGCCACAAAGAGTATAAGATATATATTGAGTGTTAAATAAATATGAATTATTTTCATAATCAGATGAGAAATACTTTGAAATTTTCTAAAAAAAAACTTTTATAAATCACGTATTATGTATATACGCGTATTTAGAATTTATTTTTTCTGAAATTATCAAGGATTGGAAACCTTTTTATTGTAAAAATTTTTTTTTTTTTGAAAATGAGGATTTATTATTGATACACGTTAACTATCCCTAATTAAGCTACTTAAAACGGTTTACCGACAATTACCCGACAACCACTTCCCTTACAACTATTTTCCCGACAATTATTTCCCCGACATAACCATTTTACCGACAATTATTTCCCCGACATAACCATTTTCCTGGCAACCATTTCATTTCTCCGGCATGACTATTTCCCCAACAATCGCGTCATGTTGGAAATGGTTATGTTGGAGAAATGGTTGTCGAGGAAATGGTTGTCGGGATAATGGTTTTATTTCGGGGGAAATAATTTGTCGGGAAAATAGTTGTCGAGGAAGTGGTTGTCGGGTAAACTTCTTTTATTTTTAGATAATTTAAAAAATTAATTTTGTCTAGATGAAAAATGCTAAACTTATAATTTTCTCGATGATCAAAAATAATTTAATTATAAACAATCTCTAAATCTCTAAATAAATTCGTGCCTGGATCCAATTGGATTATTCTGAATGATTATCAAACATGAAATCTTTATATCTGGATGATCAGGATTAATATATGTATCCACTAGTGACTCTTATTTTTTAGATAATTTAAAAATAACTCTTATCTAATAAAAATTTCAAGCTCATGATTTTCTCGAATGATCAGAAATAATTTACTTATAAAGGATCTATAATAGTCGTGCCTGAATCCCAATAGGATCATCTTGAATAATTTTCTGAAAATGAAAATCTTGATATTTGGATGATCAGGGTTAATGCATGTAACCAATAGTGACTCTTATTTTTATGATTTAAAAATAACTCTTACGCTCATCATCTTTTCGAGTGATCAAAATTAATTTAATTATAAAGAATCTCTAAATATATTCATGATCTGAATTAATGCGTGTATCAACTGATGGATTACAGAATATTAATATGGTGGCCTGATCAGTCTGGTATGATCTTTTGTTGAAAATCCATACAATACTGATTAGAAGACATTACCTCTTGAATGTATGTCAGGTTGGCGGCATTAATCTTCCAAAAATTTGCGCCAAACAATAAATAAAGTACAAATAATAATAAATTTTTAATACCGTATAAGCGCGAATAATGCTCGTGGGCGTTATTTTGAAAATTGAGGCCTTCAAAAATAACTTGTATGAACATGAATTAGCGTCCCGAATTAATGCGCATCCTAATGTAGTACATAATTTATTGTTGCGATAAATGATATACGGTCGACACATGCACCTCACATGTACTTTCTCTATAATGATATATTACCGTATAAGTGATAAAGCCCACCTGCTCGCTGATTTGTGCGTTATTTCGAAATAAGGAAAGATTTTCTATATCCAATACAGTCAACCTTCGACATATACACATTGTTGGTTAAAGTACGTACGTACATTTATAAAATTTCATATATGGAGAATAATCTACATTTATCTATTTTTATTTATCTATCTATCTATCTATTCTATTCTATTCTATCTATAATACAATTTTTCAGTTTCCTTCAACCCGAAGATCTTTCCATCATTTGACATTCGCACCAATCACCAAACTGCTGTCATTCATCGTTCGCCACCAACCTGTAGATCAAATAGTCAACCATCATATTTCAATATTTTGTGAATGTGGTTAGTTCGTAGGATTGATCGCCCTTTTTTTTTTTATAAGTTCGATCAACATTAATAATTATCAGCTAAGATCATCGAAAACTTGAAAGATCATCAATAGAATATTCCAATACTGCAATTTTTCATATCAACCTGTGCCATTCGTCAATAGCACTGCCCGCTTTCTTTTTGCATTTAAATAAGCATAATCTTCATTTCTAGCATTGATCAAATTTATGAAATTTATTACTGTTTCTATCCATTACCGTAATACCGCGTACTTGGTAAATTTATCCTAATGAACATTTTTTTAAAAAATAGTGCTATCCGTCTAAATCTATTCTTACAAACTGTATGTATACGTACATACATACATATGGGTTCATATCATTTCTTTCCCTACCATTTTTCCCTGACATTCATTTGCCTGGAATGGCGATTTTATAACAACTCATAGTAGACTTCACGATAACTTCAATGCAGATTAACTCAACATTAACCACATACTGTTGTCAGAATTTTTGGCAGCAACTTGCGATAATTCAATACAAATTAACTCAATCATGACTACAGCAAGTAAGTTCTGTGGTAGAATTTTTTGCAGTAGCTCAATAGAAATCACAATAATTACAATGCAAACTAACGCAACCTTAATAATGTGTTTTACTAAAATAGCATATTAGTAACAGAGTTTTTTACAGCACTGTACCTCATGATAGAATCAAACTAATTCCAATGCAAACTATATGTCATCAGAATAGCAAGTTCTGTAGTGCAAGGTTTTTACGGCAACTCATGATACATGTAGAATCATGATAATTCCAATACAAACCAACTAAACTTTAACCGCATACAGTTAACTCTCTCTAAGTGCAACCCCTTTAAGTGCAACTTCTCCTTAAATGCAACTTTAACTTCGGGCCCAAGTATATGTTAGGTATACTGTACTATAATTTCAATTTTCTTAAATGTTCTCTAATGCATGTTGCTAAAAGTTCGGTCCCAATGAATTGCACTTAGAGAAGTTGATTGTACCGTTGTACACCAAAATACAGTCAACTTCTGTAATTGCACCCTCTTGGAGCCATAGGATAAAATGTTCATTTATGGAGGGTGTACATTTATAAAGGGAGTTTTTACTATGTTTCTATAGCATTCATTTAGAGTGAATTTACATAGTGGTCACATTTATGGAGGGTGCAATTATAGAGATCTGACTGTAGTAGGTTCTGTAACAATTTTTTATAGTAGAAATCATGATAATTCTAATACAACTTAACTCAATCTCATACTGTGTGTCATTGAAAGCTAAAACAGAATTCTTTACAATAACTCATGATAGAATTCATGATAATTTTATTGCCAACCTTAACCACATACTGTGTCAACAGAATAGAGAGTTAAGTTCTGTAACAATTTTTTTATAGTAATGAATAACAGAAATTACAATAATTCCAATGCAAACTAACTTAACTATATACTGCATGTCACTAAAATAGCAAGTAAGCTCTGTAACAATAACCTTTTTATGTAAAAAATCCCAATAATTTCAATACAAACTATTTCACCTTGATTACATGCTATATGTTACTGAAATAGTAAGTTCTGTAACAATTTTTTTGTGGAACTCATGATAGAATTTATAATAATTTTGATGCAAACTAACCCAACTACATACTATGTGTTACTAGAATAACAAATCTTATAGCAGAATTTTTTACAGTAAATCATATTAGAAATCGCAATAATTCTAATACAAGCTACTGCATAATAACACTTATGAGCATTATTTAGAATAATGGCCTGAATTAATCTTAATTTGTGTCAAATTTTGAAATTACACTTCTGTTTATTATTTTGTGAAAATACAGTAACTTAGTTTTAACTACTTACTGTGTGTCATTGGAATAGCAAGTAAGTTTTGTAACAATTTTTTACAGTTACTATTATAAAAAATAATAATTCTAATACAAATTAACTCATATTATGTGTTACTAGAAAGTAAGTTCTATAATTGAATTTTTTATAGTAACTCACAATAGAAATCTTGATAATTTTATTACAAACTAACTCAACCTTAACCATATACTATGTATTATTAGAATAGCAAATAAGTTCTGTAATAATTTTTATAGTAAATCACAATAGAAATTATAATAATTCTAATGCAAACTAACTCAGCCACATATTATGTGAGAATTTTTTACAGAAATTCATGTTAAAAAATTTAGGATAATTCTAATACAAACCAACACAATCTTAACCACTTACTGTGTATTATTATAATAATAATTAAGATCTATAACAATTTTTTACAGCAACTTACAATAAAAAACAATAATTTTAATACAATTAAATTATCTATATTAGGGTTCCTAGGTTCAGTTCAGTTCAGGTTCAGGTTCAATGAACCTGAACCTGAACTTCAAATTTTGCAGATCATTGAACCTGAACCTGAACTGAACTTTGAATTTATGAACCTGA